TTCCAATTTTATAAAACTTTAGAAATATGGATATTATAAATTTATCAAGAAATAATACACTAATAATGTTGTCAATTTTCTGAAAAAAAAATTAATGTCCTTCATATTCATAAAAACCATCCTCTCAATTGAATATCTTAATTAATTAGTATAGAGAAGAAAAAAAAATTTTGAAGTATTTTTCCATAATTTATTTTTATGTTTATTCTTAAATTTATAAATTTTGATTCCTGAGTATTATGAATAAATTAAATTCGCATCTATTCTGAATATAGCTCATCATTAAATTTTTAGGTCCTTCTGCTTTAAGAACAGATATCCTCTTTTGGTTATAACCATCTAACTTTCTTGATTCTTTTTATAACTTGCATACTTATTACAGAAGAGAGGAAGTTAAAACTATCTAAAATAATTTAGGTTTGTTAATTCAATATTATGAACAGGAATTTACTTTGTATCAGATTTAAATAATTTTGTAAAATTAAATTTAGGTTAATGAATAAAATATACTTAAAAATAAGACTCTAAAATAAATTTAAGGAAAATAAGTGGACGATTAATATTGGTTATTGAGTTTAATATATCTGTCATAAAAGAGAGAAAATAAAAAATGAATATTAATTTTAAGGAATCAGAAAAGAAAATAAATTTTTAATTAAGCAATCTGAATTCAATCATTTCTTTGATATAATTTAGATCAAAAGAGATAAAGAAAATATTGAATAATAATCAATTTATCCAATTTTGAGAATGATATTGAAAAATTGTCTGGGATGTTAAATAAATGAATAATAAATCAAATAAATTGAAGAAGTTCCTAAATTCATTGAACAAATTTAAAAATAATTAAAATCTTTTATAAAATCTGAATAATATAATAAATGAATGAGTGATTCAGTTATGAATAAAAATTCAAAAATAAGATAGGATTTAACAAATAATGAATAGAATCACATATATTCAATTGATATGACAATAATTGAAGTTAATATTGAACATAAATACAAAATTTAACAGTTGTTGTATTATCAAATATAGGGTAAGGGAGACTAATTATCACAATTTAATGGCACGATATCTTGAGATTAAAGAGAACCGATAGAAAAGTGGATATTTTTTGCAATTATAAATATAAATATAATAAATCAATTAGATGTGCTTTTATCATTCTAAGAATAGATCAAGTCGAATATGGATGCAGCTTGGTAAATATTAAATTTTTGATTGTAAATTTTGCAGGAATTAACAAAAGTTAAAGAATTTATAATTATGTGGTAACTTTTCTGTACTTTATGCATCATTATAAGAATTCAATTTTCATTTACAAAGTAAACTTATTAGATTAGAGGAAGAATCAAATTTCATTCAATGTGAAAAATGCAAATAAAAATTTCACTTAAAAAAAAAAGGAAATAAAATATATGTTTCCACTTTCATATGTATTCATTAGAAAGGGAAAATAATGCAATGTAAATATTGCAGAAAATTAGTCAAAAAAAAACAATATCAAAGATGTAAGAAATGTTAACTCTCTCTCTTTTTTTTTGATGAATCTAGACAAGTTAAATGCCCAAATTGCAATATTGTGTGTTGTGAGCATTGTAAAGAAGAAAATCAACTATTTTAATAATAATTTTGTAAATGTAAAATTATTAAATCAACCAGAAATCTAGTTCTCTTTTAATGTTTATGTTTTCTGATTTTAGGTTTGGTGATGTTGCTTTTTATATGCTCTTATTATTTAGAACATAGTGAGTTTTATTAATCTATAGTATGCACAATTAAAGATGGATATTTCAATCAAGATTGCACTTTGGAATAATTTTATAAAGATACTTTAAAATAATTTTTATTATTTAGTGTCTTAATCTTTATTATTACACTTATATCAATTCTTATTGAGAACATTCCATACATTATTAAATTATAACATTAAACTAAAAGAAGTATTTATTAATGATATATACATAAAAAATATGTTAATCAAATAAAACCAATTATCCAACTATTCAAATAATATTATATATATTCCTTTCTATAAAATAATCAAACAAAAGAGTTAAAAGAGCCAATAATTTCAAACTTAAAGTACTGTTGCATTTTAGGATCAGTTTTAATGGTCTTCTGAATAGAAAGATAATTGATTTTAAATATGAATCAAAATAACGTAACAATTAATAAATGAGTGTTCGTTCAATTTTAAATAAAAATATTTTTAAATGTTTAAAATAAGCTCCTTTTAAAAAATTATTGAAAGAAATATAAAGAATCATCATAATTCTTATATAGAATTTATTATTAAATTTTTATAATTAAATAAATGTACTTATTTTCCTAAAATTAATATATATGTGAATTATGCTTAATCATAACCTCATGCTATTGTATCTTACACAAGAACTTTAGATATTGGA